AGGATATTTCGGTCTGTTTGGTGCAGCAGCCGTCATTCAATGTTGGCTTAGATTTTATAAATGCTTCTTGAGAGTTTCGTACTCCGAAACATTAACACAGACTACTCAAGACGATAACTTGGAAAATAATGACTAGAATATATGGATTAAAATACAAGCAGTAGTGTCACGAATAGCCTCCACAGTACAGCCCTTGTTTCTTTACTACCGCTACTTTTGTCTGTTCAATATAACTTGATGAAGTTTTGAAAATCTGTTGGGGGGTGGTTGAAGTACCTGTTATTTTGAAGTTTTGTCAAACGTAGCCTTACCGCACTATTGCTAAGAGGTCATCAAGAAAATTAATGATCCACTGTCTATTATACGTGAAGTCATGTCTGTAGGTTTATAAGGAAGTTTATTAGGTCCTCGTTCTTCAAAATTAGAAAATTAATGAGTTAACAGCCGAAAGGCAAAAAGATAAACGCATATTTAAAAAGACTGTTAAATTTTCAAGTGTACATAAAATAGGACTTGTTGTACTCATAACTACCGTCGACCTCTTCGGGCTGTACTGGATAGTTTCAGAGGATTTCCTGAAAGATTTATAAAGAAATTCATTAGTACCGTGAGTCTTTGAAGTCAGTTACTACTTAGCTCAATTATGTGCAAAAATGCAAGGTGCGTGGCTAGAGCTTTCGTAGTAACCTAAATCCATGGTTGTCTGTTTTACTTAACATGACTCGAAACCAGTAACATGTGCATTTAGTATTCCTTTAATTCTAGAGCATAAAGTCATTCTACAAACTGCTCTTCTGTTTTATTTTGGGAATAAAGGTTTTTTAGTGAGACTATAATTTATGGACGACCTTTGAGCGACGCTGAAGTAACCTTGAGAGTGAACAACTAATTAGGACTAAATGAGGGTTTTAAAGCAGTTAGAATTTTCATTTACAGTTGATGGTTATAGTCTTGCCGGTTTTTTCACATCTGTTGACTTTTTTTTCGCCTCTCGTATTTTGCGTTGGTTTACCGTGTGAATACTCGAATTGATACACGCGTCCCAGATCTTACCTTTTAGTGTTTGTTTGCCAACTCGAACTCACCAGTGGGGAGTTGTCACTACGAACCTATGATACATTGTAACTGCTTTATCGTTGTAGTCGTTTTTCTCATTTTACGTATACATAATCTATTCTGTCTTCTAAACAGACAATCAAACTAGTCTCTTAGAGACTTTCGGTTGTGCGTGACCTTGTAAATTCCTTTCGTATGTTTCTATTTATGCTTAGCTTATGCGTATGGTGTCCATAATCTACTTATTTGTAGTTTATACAATGCTCACCTTATATAGATTATCTTACTCTTTATTCTCTGGTTTTTGGCTAAATTTCAAAGTTCCATATTCACTGTTCTTTTGTCGTTCGTCTACTTTCCGTATATATATCCGAAATATGTAAATCCCAAACATATTTCGTAGTCGATTTCTTCGCATTTACGTTGTATCAACGTGATCAGTCGGCTCAGTGGATACAAAGTTACGTAGTATCGCTATTTTCTTTAGCACCATTCATCATCGTCATGGAATCAAAGCAGTGCCCCATCATCTAGATATGACACATATTTGTCAAACATGCATGGTCCACTTTTTAGTTTCCACAGTAACCCCGAAGAGCTAGTTCACACCGACACAGAAAGTGAGCTGTGTTTAGCCCGTCGATCGGTTCGCACGTCTTGAGTAACTGGGCTAAAAAACCTTCACTAGGATACACTGCGATATAATTAGATTCCTTCATAAGTCGTGTTGTGACTGAAATATATGCTTATTATAAGTCGAAAATAAGAACTCACTAACTATTGATGTGAAACGTGTAAGGCACTGGACATCAGCTGGTCACTTGTTGTATTAGTCTAGTAATAAGCTTGTCTCAATAAAAATGACTCAATAACTACCGGTTCATGCGTTACTGTAAGCCATATATAGTGGATTGGCGTCAATAATACTACGAAATTGCCAAAAATGGAATAAAAGACCAAATATAAGTGGCACCATATATTTATTTCCTACTTTAAAATTTGCACAAGTTTTCATGAGTAGTGACAAAGTGGGGCATGTAGTTTAAACAATATGGTTTTCTTTGTTGGTTTCCAACGTTTTGATATCACACTTCATCCCCATATAGCAAACCCATCAGCATCAAGAAGTCCGGTTTCATAATGGAGGCCTTGTTGGTAATGACCAGTAGAATTCAAATAAATTTTAAGGCAATTGGTTGTATATCAGCCTCCAAATGCCCTGGTACGGCCGAGGGTAGGGTGAGTCAGTTCCCACTCGAAATACTCTCACCTGGACGCCACTGCCAGGGAAGTCCTACTCACTGCCTTCTCGTGGCGGGGGTGTTGTTTACGAGATTCAGAGAACGAAAAGCGAATGTTCGGCGCTTTAACCGGATTGATGCACACGAGAAGTCTACGTAGGAGGTTGGAAAACCCTGATCCCAAACCAATGGTGCACATGGGCTCCAATATCCCGAAGGAACAAATGGCATATAAAGCAATCGTTGGTCACTGGCTATCATAGGACTGCATCTTTTAACGTTGCTCCATTGCCTTGTGGATCAGACTTTTAGGTCAAAGGCTCCAGGTGTGGCCCTCTAGGAAAACCACCTGCTTCTGTTTGGGCATCCGGGCAGTATCCCAGCCCATACACAAATCAAGTGACTTGTGTGGCGCATATGTACTTGGTGCCCCTTTGTACCAATATTTGTGTTCAAATAAATAAATAGTAAATAATGATTAGGGTTTCTGAACGGAGTTATTATCACTAAACATAATCATGCTAAAAATGCATTGAAAGTCCATAAAGTAATGTGTCGAAAGTTGATCTGAAATCCACTCCGTCGCCACTGTTGTAATGTCTCTTGTTACGACCCATCTACTTATTGATTAGTATTCTTCGGACACGGACAATTCCCCAAATCAAAACACGGTTGAACAGGAATGCTCTTGTATTCCAAATCAGTAAGGTCGGTTGGGATTAAGGATTCTCAGTAAGAAACGTTAGTATATCTGTAGTTTTACAAGATTAAATTCTAGGATCTTCTCCAAGTGTCCGCTGGCGCTGATCGGCTAAGAAATAACCAATTAGCCTGCTCCAACATAATCCTGTATGGATTATACTTTAATCCAAACTATATCCTACCAACGGATTTCCCTCATAAGTTGTATTTAGGGATCTCACATTCTCGAGAGATGATTGGGGCTTGTGCTTTGTATGACTGACTACTGCCTACTTTGATGGGCGGTGTTGTTTGATTCAGTGGTGGGCTGGAAGGTGGAGGCGATCAAATCAAAACATGGCATCAGTCTATGAACTCATTGATAATTGGACTAAGCCATGTAAATAGGTGCGAACCGTCGACTTCTGGTCAGCTTGACTATCGTAACCCATGGTTAGACTTTGGGTAACATGACTCAGAGTCTTTTACAATGACGTAGGTACATTTCCTCCTTGTCTTCCTTCAGAACCTGAGTCTTGGAATACCATATTTTCCCCTTTTCTATTATCACTACTTATACTGCCACTAATTCTACTAATCTAGGATGTCTTAATAATTTTACCTCGCTGTGCTAATTTGGTGTGCCGATTTGAACGGATGTACGTTATGTGTCAACTTGTACATTGTACGTGATTGTTTGACTGATTATTTCATTCCACCAGCTTTATCTTTCTGTCATTCATTTTCTTAAAATACCTGAAAAATGAGCATTTCAGGAGTCTGGTACACTTACAGCCAAATAATTTACCCATAATATGTAGGATACAGTTGTATTGTTAGTCTGCCACTAAAAGGTAGTTTATAGAGTATTTCAAGGTTGTAAAATGTGTATGCTCTGCAATTAAATTGGTAATGGAGAACGGTGTATAAATTCAGGGGCATCTATACGTAAACATATGACTGTTCGTTGTAGTTACTGTAATCACTGAGAACTATCCATATACTATTATTATTTAATTTATTTAAACACAAACATTGGTACAAGAAGGCATGAAGTATATATGCGCCACACCATCATTCGATTTGTGTCAGGGCTGGAATACTGCCTGGACGCCCTTACTGGAGCAGTTGGTTTTCTTTGGTGGGCCACTCCACTAGCCTTTGATACAGAAGTCTAATCTACCAGACAATGGAGCAACGTTGGAAGGTGCAGTTCCATGGTAGCCAGTCACGAACAATAGGTTCATACGCCAATTGTCCCATCAGGATCCTGGAGTTTATGTTGACTATTGATTCGGAATCAGGGTTTTTCAACTTCCGTAAGTTGAGTCCTCCGTATCCACCAACCTGATCCGCGTGCTGGACATTCGCTTGTCGTCCTCTCAATTTCGTAAATAACACTCAGAGGGAAGGCAGTTAGTAGGATTTTTCTGTCAGTGATTGTATACGTGTGGCCATTTGAGAACATTTGGGGGCACTATCCATATACACTAGGCTCACTTAGATTTCAGAGTAAAATCTTTACGAAAATAACTAAGTCAATTGAAATTAGTGACATATGCTGCCATTGCTTTTAGGTTTAAAATCTAATCTAACATTATTGTTTGCAGAACACTAAATAATCTCAATAGTCTTAAGTTAGAACCTATTGTGTCTCAATCATAGCAGACTTAATCAGAATGATCTGTATTTTGAGCGTTATTTCAATAACCTTGGTTTAACACAGTAGGTACTATGTAGATCTGTGCTTTGGTTTAGACATCTTATTTCGAATTCTACGCTTTTTAATTCCTAATTTTCCTGTTTTATTTTTACTTCAATAACTTATATTTTGAGTCGTATCTTCCATATCTAATCTTTTCTATTACCACTGGTACAATTATAACCTCTATCACTGGGATTCAGCCTAATAATTTCACCTCTCTTTGCTAAATGGGGTATGGCAACTCGAACCGATATACATACGTACCAGGTTCTGTATTGAGACTGACTGGCTAATTTTTAAAAAAATCCACTCCCATCTTATTTTAACAAAGGTTTATAGTGGTATTACCGAATGATCTATCTTCACAATATTTATGTTACCCTCATTAACATAATAGCCTAGACTCATCCCTTATGGTGAAACGTTCTGATTAGTCAGTCATCGTCAATCTAGAGCCTAAGGCAAATATGTGTTAGCTCATGTTGGGATATCATATTTAACATAACGAGATAAAATTAACAAGACGAATAATAGAAGAATCAAAATAATGTAATAACAACGACAATGAAGATGACTGGTTATTGAGAATATGGTCCGAAAAGACAATGAGAAAGCATGTGTGGAGGAAGACTGGAAGATAAAGGGTGAGTGCATTTGCGCTACTGTGAGTGACTTTAAGCCATATCACCCCATGTCTTTGATTGTTGTTTGAAGTTATCTCGCGGACCCCAAATAATTCTTCAAAGACACCAATAATCAGAAACCCGGAGTGTACTTATGTCTTCTACCTCCACATACTGTTTCGTAGCCATAGAGTAATAAAAAGCAAACTGTCCTTTGGTTGGTGTATTTAATCAACTGTGTGATTTCTATTTGTGGAGTGACAATTGAAATCATTCAACGTGTAGTTAGAGTTAAAGTAGCTTATACTATTGTGGGCAATCTATGGTGCCGTTATAATGCTAATTTGGGTATGAAAAGTCGTGTATACGTTGCATCTGACTTCATTATCAAACGAGAAAAATGACTATACCTTGTTAAAGCATTGAAGCTAGTTGGTTAAAGCTACTGATTAGTATGAGTTACGTCCAGTTATTCTTGTTGACCAGCAGTATATTTTATAGTTTAATGACTAATGCAAGCTAAAAATAGAATAGTTACCCATTGATAACAGTATACGGTGATGACTCAATATCATAATTTCGTTGAAGTTGAATAATTAGGTGATTGATTCCCAACATAGTAATTCAGTGATATTATGCTTTTTGTAAGATATAAAGCTCCTAAATTCAAGTCTATGTCATAACGTGAGTGTATATTACCAACGGTCGTATACAGAAACAAATCAACTATCCACTGACTTTACTTGTCATTCATTTAGCATCAGCTCATGAAAAAATTCCAAATTTCACTAGTTTTACACATTATCACCTTAGTTAAATGCTTGAAAATGTTTATAGTTATCTTCCTGATTAATAATAACCTACTTGGAACCCGGACCAAGGTAATCTTAAATACCCTATCCCCAGATAGAGGCTCAGCATTTTACTCTAGTACGCTGACGCCTGTGATAATCATTTATCGGGTCTGACCGAACGCGTAGTTTTGTCAGTGTGGAGGCCCTCGAACTATCCCTCAGAAAATTGACAAAATAATGACTCAGTGGCTAAGCCACTCTAATTCCAGCCTTGTGAGCCCTAGGTTCGAACCTCGCTTCATCCACTTCAGTTTGGCAGAACCCCCAAATGCCCTGGTATGGCCGAGAATGGGGTGGGCCCGCCCACCCTCTCAAAATGCTCTCACATGGCCACGCGTATACAGCCTCTGCCAGGGAAGTCCTACTCACTGCCTTCTCGTGGCGGGGGTGTTGTTTACGAAAATGAGAGGATGAAAAGCGAATGTCCGGCGCTTTAACCGGATCCCAAACAAAATCAATGGTGCATATGGGCTCCAGTATCCTGCGGGAACGAATGGCGTATGAACCAATTTTTGGTCACCGGCTTCCATGGGACTGCATCTCCTTACGATGCTCCACTGCCTTGTGGGTTAGACCTTTAGGTCAAAGGCTCGGGGGGTGGCCCCCTAAGATAACCACCTGCTTAGGTCTGGGCACCCGGGCAGTATCGCAGCCCACACGCAATTAATGAACTGAAATTGTGTGGCGCATATATATTTGGCGCACTCCTGTATCAATATATATGTGTTCAAATAAATAAAAATAATAGTTTGGCAGATCAGGTAGTATCACTAACCTTAGAGTGGACCGCGAAGCCGAATGCACTTCTGTATCTAGTAAATGAATTAAACCGATTTATTAATTATCTTTAACAAAGTACTGATCTGAAGCATTACAATACATTCTGTTTATTGATTACATATTGTTATCGGTACACTGATGTTAGTGATTGTTTATTTCAGACAACTCTAAATTCAATTTTTCTTTTTTCTCTAAAACTCTTTAAACTGAATTTTCCTACTATGGTCATATCCGTTCATGTTCTATGTTATAACTATATACATGCTTTAGTCATATATATCTAGCATAATATATAAAAATTCGCCAATAATATCTGTCACGCATGCATACAATTTGTCTTCTGGACAACTAGTCAGTGTTATGGGGAATTGTTTTTTAGGTGTGTTATATTTTCTACTTGTTACATTATTTTCAGTCCTACTGGTTTAAACACTATTACTATTAGTTGATGTACGCGTGAAATTTGTTACCCTTATTTTACCAACACACATACACACACATTGTGTATCTATCTCATCTCACAGTTCCAGTGTTCATATGTGACTTTTTGTTCAAACAGCGGTGTTCATATGTGCTGGAAAAAACACTTATTTCAAGCATGAAACTGTAAATACCGTTATGTGGAAAGAGTTTGTGGTTGCTTATTTGTTGTTAGTTACATTTTCTTCGTAATATACCAAAACGTGCTGATGAGCTTACCCCATCGTACAAACAAAATTCAAAAATATTGAAATTGAGTAAATTTGGTCCGACTTTGATCTGTTTATTTGAATTTTGTTCGGTAAATTGGATAGTCGTGTGTCGTATATTTCAGTCATTTTTGTCATGTTATTGGTACTTTAAAGAACTTGTATGGTAACTTTTTTTATCAGTTCATAATGATGATTGAGTTTAAGAATGAAGCCACTTAATTTTTTCCTTCAGTAAGAAACGGATTAGTAATTTAAGCATTCAAGTTTCAACTATAGAATTTTCTTGAATTCTTGGACCGATGTATGACAACCGTTAAGAACCTGGAAACACTGGACGGCCGTTTGTTCCTGGTATTGGACTCCGTAGTAATGAGCATCCATGATTAGAATTATGTACTGTGTACAATCGTTAGGAATTTTCATCTATAAATTTCAAACTTTTTTCTATGAAGTTTACTTACCTCTGTCTTGAAATACATATTTACATTTACTGTTAGGTATTTATAAGTAGTCACTGAGAAATCCCTGGGTTTAGGTTTCGTGCTAGTTGGTACTTTTCAACCAAGCATACCGACAAGCTTGTGGAAACTGATGCTCATCGTGGGACTAAACCTACGTCGCCTTCATAGTCTGAGATTATACTACTGGGCTATTCAGGCTGCCGATGACTGACTTCCTTTTGGACTGAGTTATTTACACATACATTGGTTTCTATCTGTTTATCTAGAAAAGTTTTATTAGTATAATGCAGATGCAGCTATGTAGTGTTTTTTTACCGACATGAATCATGGTTGTAATACTAAAATGAACTTAATTTAATGAATTGATTGGAATTCCGTCAAGATTTTTCCAAGGAAATACATTGTTTCTTTTCACACAATGTGAAAATGTTTTTGCGAAATATCTCTCATTTATATAGTTTGTATTCGTCACAGAGTTTTCTGATTTGGTGTTTCATTAAAGACCAGGAAGCATTAAACAGATTTTATCCTAGTATGAGCCTCCTCAGCAGGATGGACACATGACCACTCCGCTAGGATTAAATCTTGAACTACCAGGTCTCACAGCAAACTCTTGACCATTCTTGTTTTGCTGATCTACTTTTTTTGGAGTAGGGTAATGCTTTCGAAGAAAAATTCAACTAATAAGTTGGTAGGAAACATATTAATATTCGTGTATATAACTTAACAGGTCTATGGATGATGTTTCATGAAAAAATCCTATGACCACCTTGTCATGAGTTCTCTAATCGATTAGTTTCAAAAAATTTACCATGTAAATGTTATGTTCGCTACTTGATTAACGCAGAATATGGTATATAACCAGGGCACTCGAACATATAGAACCCCACAGTCGCAAAATTAGAAGACAGGAGAAAACGGGAGAAGTGTTTGTTGGATACGAATCAAAATGCACAGAAAATCATGGGTATTTATGTATATGTTAGCGTTTGTTATAATATCGTTATAATTCAGCCGATCCGCAAAGAGGCAAGTTATGCTACTAACCAATAGTAGCATGCTACGTTTATATGCTAGAAAAATCCATCATATTCTGATTGGATGGAAACTCTTCGGTTCCTTTTGAGCCTTTGGAAGCTCTGTCATAATTCTCGTAAACTGTCCTAACAGTAATGTGTTAAACTTTGATTTACTCATTACATTTTTCTAAATACGTTTCACCTACTTCGAGGTTATTAGTTTATTAGATTCATAAAATGAATAAAAGAATTCAATTAATTTGAAACGTTTAAATTCTAAGAACACATAAAATCCCAAGGTTTTAAAGAAACAAATTTCTTGTTTTTTATTATTTTTTTCCAACAATCGACAATAAAAACGGAATAGTTTCTTTCTTTTTTTTGGTTTATTTCAATTAAATAGAAATTCAGCTGTTTTGTATTAGTCGTTTTATTTTCTATTTCAAATAATAAATTATCAGAATGAATTTTGTGGAGATTTTAGAAATTTCGTTTCGTCCTAGTATAGGACTCCTCGGCAGTGCGCATCCACGATCCCGCCCCAGCTCGCAAGATTCGAACCCAGGACCTATCAGTCTCGCCACAGGCGCTTAAACAACTAGACCACTGAGCCGGCATCCAACGGTGTTAATGTCTAACTTCAACCAATCCACGAAGTTGCACCACCGTACGCCATTGTCTAGTGAAAAGCCGTTACCAGTAGAGTTCAACCAGGTCTGCTGTGAGATAGGAACTCACTGAAGACAATGGTGTACGATGGCGCAATTTCGTGGATTGGTCGAAGTTAGACATTAACACCGTTGGATGCCGGCTCAGTGGTCTAGTTGGTTAAGGGCCTGGCGCGACACTGATAGGCCCTGGCTTCGAATTCTGCGAGGCGGGACCGTGGATGCACACTGCTGGGGAGTCCCATACTAGAACGAAACGGCCGTCCAGTGCTTCCAGGTTTTCTATGGTGGTCTAGCTTCAATTGACTCATGATTTCAAACAGTGAAATAATAAATTATCACGAAAATATTTGTTATATAAGATTGTTATCATTTCTGATACAGAATGATAAATATAGTATGCCATGTTTGTAGGAATAAGGATCACGTATCGAGTGTCTAGATTAAATTGATTCAAATCCTCAAAATGTATCGTTACACATAAATGGTGTTGATAGAATAACTTCTAATAGATTGTTTTCCAATGTATGCGTGTTACAGTATAGTAGGCAAAGATATTTGTCATCTATCACGTCCTTGGCTTTTTATTTTCAAAGTGAATAATATTTAACACAGAATAAATATGGACATATTTTGTCTATTTTAATTCATGATACAAACCACTTTCGTCACACGTTGTGTATTAAAATATCTAAATATTTATTAGAAAGTTACATGTGAGTCTGTTGAACTGTATTATACTCTTTAAATAACATCTCCAAACCCTAATCTTCCCGATTACTGCTTATACTCTTGCTACCTCTACCACTATGGGATTTGAATCGACAACTGCATCTCTGTGCTAATGTGGTGTGGCAACTCGAACTGATGTACATACGTACGAAGTTCTACGTTGTTACTGACTGACTGACTGACTGACTGTTGAACTGTGTATATATCGAACTTAATTATAACTCTATTGTAAAGAAGACCTTTTCACTGAATTGCTTGTTTTTTTTAATTTGAATGTTTTATGTGCGAAATTGTAAAGTTGTCAAATATAAATTTGTGCTCAAATCATGAATCATCAACCCAAGTTAGATAATCATTGAAAACCTAGAAGCAATGGACAATCGTTTCATTTTAGTATGTGACTCTACTCATCAGTACACATCCACGGCACTGGAAGTCAAAACCAGGACGTTCAGTTTCAATTGTGGACTCCTAATCTCTAGTCCACTGAACCGGAATACAACGGCGTATAAGCGTAAGTTGGTTATCCAATGTTATGGATTGATTGGAATTGGATATCAGCTCAATGGTTAAGCGTTCACACACGAGGCGGAAAATGATGTCTTGGATTCCTGGTGTCGGGGTCGCATCCGTGCACTGGTGAGGGGGTTCATACTAAGACGAAATGATCATCCAGTACTTCCAGGTCTTCAATGGTTGTCTAACTAAAATGGGTTCGTAATCTCAGTCAAATTCAACAGTCTCCACAACCCTCTTCTAATAAACTTTTAACTCGAACAAAAAATTGACTTTTCTGTTGGTAAACACTACCGGAATTTTCAAGAAGAATGATGCGAAATAGCAGGGTTTGATGTAGACCTACATTTCACATATTCTTCTGAGAGAATAATCATAATTTTTGCATCTCTTTGTAAATCGTTTATTTTTTGCCAAACAACACATTTTACTGTTTTGTTTCATGTGTAAACTTTGTTTAAATCCGCCTTTATATTCCTGTTATCCTGTTATTGTTTAATGTAAGATCTTTTAAGCCATAAAATAAATCTTCAGGATAGTTACAATTTTATCATTTTGATCCTAAGTACTGAATAAGTCGTTTAAACATAAATCTTTCTGATATAATAAGGAGGGTCTTCATTCATTCTATGTACGAGTGATTTAAAAAAAACTGACTTTAATGTTTACCTAAGTCGACTCTTCGGTCTTGTGAGAACAGCTATCACTCGGTGAAATTGTATAGTAACTTATCATCTATCGATCACCGTTTTTTTACATTTTTATGATCAAAAGTCAGCTCATAAAATCCTAACTCTAAAACACTTTCACTCATCATTAAGTAATGAATTTAAACTAATCTACATATTTTACAATTGAACCAACCGACTTGTAACATCTGAAAATCTCAAAGTCTAGACATGGACGAAGTTTATGCATGTATAAATATAATTTAATTCAGAGTACATTTAAACTTTACAAATTAAGGCATTTTTATTCCTTACTCTGTTCTTCACTTATCTCGTGAAGGCACTAACTGTTCATCTGGGTCACTTCGTAGGGTACTGATTACTTGATTAGGATCCGCGCGATAATCGAGATCAGTGGTTGGTGACACCGGAAGGCGGGTATCGACATAAATAATAAGTCAACTCATTCACCAGGTACTTGAAGTCACACTCCAAGTGTGCGGGCTAATGACACTACACGGTCGCCAAACTGAAGTAGGTGGAGAAGGATTCGAACCCAGGATCTAATAGCTAAACGTCAAACGTCTTGACCACCAGACATGGCTCAAAATCGATCACAATAATCCAGATGCTTTCACCTTACGTCTTCCCCTCTATCTTGAGTTTTGAAACTATCTTAGATTTTTTACCCTGAAAATCCATTTTATCTTTTCGAATCATATTATTATATCTCCTATTACCCTTGAGTGATTTATTAATTTCATTTAAACACATAAATATCGGTACAAGGAGACACCAAATATATATACGCCACAGTTCATCATCCGATTTCTGTGAGGGCTGTGATATCACTCGGGGGCCCAAACTGAAGCAGGTACTTTACTTAGGGGGTCACTTCACGAGCCTTTGATACAGAAGTCTAGTCTACAAGACAATGGAGCAACGTTAGCTAGATGCAATCCCATGTTATCCAGTCACCAACAATAGGTTCATACACCATTTATCGATGCAATCTTCACAGGATACAAATATACCAACCAAGATTAATAAAAATTCAATCAAAATATGAACAACGGGATAACCGAATTTATTTGAAGTTAAAATGTCAATTATTTGATATTTTTTTTCTTTGTACGTCAGAATATTTCATTGTATATATTTGTTATAATTTTCTCTTTTTAGGAGACCCAATTTCACCGTCATAGTAACTGAGAAAAAAATATATATATTCTTTGTGTTTGAAGTATTTATTTTCAAATGAAAACGTTCATCTAATTGTCTACTCACTAATTAACAATTTCTTATGTAGTCGAATAGCAAAAAAAAACAAGAAAAGAATCTTATTTTCAATGTTAAAATTACAAACGACGTCAGTTCTATCATTAACATTATTATTAGTACTATTATTGTTATCATTACCATTGTTAATTCTTCTTTTTACAAAATGACTATTTCAAATAAATTTGGATGTCTTTCAATTATCCATCCAAGTGTATTATTACTTATTCCTCTAGTGTTATTAAATACAACTAGCGCCAGTTTGCAGAGTAAGTAATTTTGAATACATTCTCTCTCTTGTACATTATAGTTATTATTTTCATATATACTTATATATATATATATTTAGTAAGTTTAAAATCGAACACAAGTGTGGCTCATTGCATGAGATACAAAAACCTTAGATTAGTTGTTGGGTTAGACTTATCTTAATATGAAGTCCACCCAATAAATACGACTAAAGTTGTAAAAATATACAGTGCATCACTTTTCTTTACTTCAAAATACTTCTCACTTGTGATAATGCATCTGTTCTGTCTGCATTTCCTTTGATCATATCATACCTAAAAGTCCTTAGAATTTATACTCTTCATCTATCTCATCGTTTTTTCCAACTTCAAATATTTTACTGGAATTGTGCGTACAGACAAATTGCCCATATACTGCAATTCATCACCAATCATCCAGTCAGTGAATTAACTGTCAAAATAGACAAACCGTATACGTTTACGTCAACGTTTGGCACTATGCTTCCAACCTTTTTGGTTTTGCACTATTAGGCTTAATTCACTTGAATAAGCTATCTACATAAAGACACATCAACAGTTCACGTTTCACCAAATATTTTAACAGTTCGGTTCCCATAGTGACTGGACAAAGTAATATATGTAGTTGTGTATATATGGGAAAACTCTATACACAAAACTTAATTTTCAGGTAATGAAGTTAACCTATCAGTTTTTTTCTGTTGATGAATATCATATTATACAAAATGTACGAGAAATCTTGTACATTGTAAAACTTATTAATTTCTATTGAAATCACGAACCGATCTAAGTTAAACAATGGCTGTTTCGTCCTAATGTAGGACTTCTCAGGAGTGTACATCAACGACCTGGACACCGGGACTTCAAGGCAGGATTTTCGATCTCTTGCGCAAACACTTAACGTCTAGACCATTAAGCCCGTGATTCAGTGGTATACAAATTTAACTTTAATCAGTTCATGATATTTCTTGTCCATTTTCTATTGTCTTCGGTGCGTAACACGTTTTTCACTCCTCCAACACGATGTATTTTGTATATTGTTTTAAAAATCCTTTTATTTTTTTACTTCTTTTGTTAAAATATAGTTATACCGCATTTCACCAGCCTACCTCCATCTATCTCACAATTTCTATATCCATCAACCGATGGTACCAGTTTCCCACCACTTGAACTTGTATGTCGAGCATGGCCACCTAATTCTAAGCTGCATATTTTAGCCCAACAATTGACATCTCCAGGATTCACTGATCCAACATTTGGTGCAAATCCAATTGTTTCTACTTCATTAATTGCTGTCAATCCTAATCATCATAGTAATAATAATAACAATAATAATAATAATAATGGATTAATGCAATTACCTTATGGTCTTGGCAGTCAACGATATGCTATTTTATCCTCTACACAAATCACTAACTCGTATCAACCAAATTTAGATGGTACTATTTCTGGTAATAGTGGTTATCAGTCAGTTAATTCATTGATTATTCATGAAACTTTAACTGATGCAATTCGTGACAATCCTGCAGCTGGATCTCATGACGAAGTTGCTATTCGTCTTATAGTTTCTAGTCAATCAGAATTAAGTCAAATGGAATTAATACGGTTACACTGCTTAGCTACTACTTCGTTTGGTCGTAAATTAAGTGCACCATTCCGTGTGCTTCCTGCTAGTAAGTTTTGATTATTTTTATTTTATTACAAAATAGTTTAAGAATTCTATTATTGTTATGAATAATGACTTGTAATTCCCTGGTGTTGATATTGTGAGCTGTAATTGATCAGTCTCTGTTACTATATTGTACAACCTGAGCAGATTGTATCGGAATAGCGTTATCGCACAATTGTTATTAGTTGTCTAAACTCAGTAGCTTAATGGATAACACGTTGAGTGTTCGAGGCGAAAGGTACTGGGTCCGAGCCCTGATGTGAAAATCAATCCTGGAATGCAGGCACATCCATCCGACGAGTCCTAAATTTAACGAAGTGCTCATCCTAAATTACATTACTAGTCACACCTCAAATATGCTGAATTTTATATTCTATGTTTAACAGTTCTTTTCTAACTCAATACTTTTTAATTAAACTTTAATTAGTGTCGTGACTTGGTGATTAGGGCGTTTGAATTTCAGTCACTAAGTCTCAGATTCAAATCTGGCTCCACCTACTTCCGTTTAGGCAACCGGGTAGCATCATTACCTCTCTCACACTTAGAGTGTGCCTCTTACCCAAGTACCTGGTGAATGAGTCTATGGAGTGTAATGTAATCTAGACTGCTCGCTCATATTCCCCCCTCATTTAATGCATAATGTTTCCAATTTTCTTGATCTCTCTCTCCACCTTATCGCTCTCATACACTAAGTCTTTGCCATCCTTTTTTTCTGATGATGTCAATATATTTGTTCTTTTTTCGATTTCTTTAAAGGTTTGGGTTCATTCCCAACTCCTAGAAGTGGTGGACCATCTTCATCTCATACTGAAAATGTTGAATTTCTACGAGGGAATATTGCTATTGTTGACTGTTATTTGCCAACTAATAGTTTTCCCAAACCATTAATTGAATTTGAATTAAACAACACCGTTATTGATCTTACAGGTAAGTAAAAATTCTCTATGTATATCACGCGTATTCGGAATCAACTCCTAGTTCTAGGTTTATTGAAATAAAGACGTTCGAAAAAATCTAGGTCACTAACTATTCGTCCAAAATATGGTTGTAGTTACAAACTATCTGGTTTATATCCGCGACTAGTCGCCGCAGACTTTCGATGACACAGTTCGGAGTAGTTTACAGTGTAGGAAGATGCACTCACTTTTTATCGTCCTCTCCATCTTAAATTCTAATGTTTTCTCACGTTAACTTGGTCTTGTCTAATCTTACTCTTCACGTTATCCTTTACATCGTCATTACTACCAAAACTGTCCCGGCCCTTTTTTTTACTATATATATCTTGGTAAATTCATCTCGTTGTGACACATTAAGAGGGGGGTTTAGCGGCCTATCTTCGTTAATTAATCACCATGATAACTGTTGTTATATAAATCCCAACGGCTTTTGAATTCAGAAGGCATTAAGAAGCGGCAACTACGGTTTGTCAGCGGATAGCACAGATAACAAAGTTACAAGCACATCGAGCGAATCGGAGCAGAGAGGCTGACATATGTATGTGAGCGAATACAGAGGTGAATTTATGGTCAAATGGAATCAAGGCGCAGCGATGCACGACAAAGACTATTAATAGGATTTGAGTACATATATTTATATATTTCCATACATGGTAAAGAGAATGGTTGATCGAGAGAGAGAGATTCAAGATATTAATATTTCAGCTAACGAGAGATATGTGCGTAGGTTGTCCTATGTGATCAAGCATAGACGTTTATACAAATATGATAGTGATGATGATAATAATAATACAAAGATATAATCGAATTGTTACTGTCCGAATAACATTGTCTGTTAAATAAGTTAATAAAAGGAATTGATCAAAGTTAACCGTAAGAAAAAGTAATTGTAGGAGGGTTGGTATAGTGGTATGGTAACTCGGTGCAACGTATATCTGTGCCAGGCTCTACGTTAATAATAATGACTGACTGACTGGCCAAGTTTACAACCAGCTTTGCTTTAACAGCCTGAAAATATCACTAGCTCACATTACGAAAATGTATGACTCAGAACAAAGTTGTTTTTGATTAATAACGTGTTATTACCACTTTAATTATTATTATGTATCAAGGAAGTCTAGCTGAACACATAGTCCACCTAGCAACTCATGAATTTCCACGACCCTCAATAACATAATTGTGCGATATCAACCTAGCTAATTACCGTATCAAAATGTATATGGTTGAAGTATTGAGATTTTCGAACACCTTATTGTATGCTCGCTGTTTCAATCGCACAATTAATAAATCTACCATCTTTTATTCACCTATTCTACGCATCATTTTGTGAAGCTTTGCAAGAGTGGTTATTCTTTAGCATACAAAATAACAGACAGAAAATATATTGAATAGTAGGTTGGAAGAAAGCTAGGGACGACCAGACCAAAACATGGCACAAATCCATGAAGTCACTGATAAGTGGACTGAGCCATGTTGGTAGGTGTAGACTACCTGGTTGGGGACCGCGAGATGATAGCAACCGATGGTTAGATACCTTGAATGGCATGGCTCAAAACCGTTTGCAACGGCGCAGCTGCATCCACTCTTTGTGTTCTCCCAAATTTTAATCTTCTGAATTCTTCATGTCCCTTTCTTTTTTCTCCTTCCAAATTTATTTCACTGGGTTATACTCCTTGAATAACATCTTCAAACCCTGATGTTTCCGATTACTGCTTATACTCTTACTACCTCTACCAATATGGAATTTGGATCGATAATTGTATCTGTGTGCTAATGTGTTATGGCAACTCGAACTGATGTACGTATATACGAAGTTCTACGTTGTTACTGACTGACTGACTGATTAGTAGTATATTATAAATACCATGACATACTGACTCCCATTCTGTTATGAGAAATCACCATCACTGACAATCCTTATTGTCTAAATGAAATATCTCATTGCTGTCACTTTCACTTTTAAACTTGCTTTTAATCTTAAGATTCATCAACCGATCTATCTAACATGGTAGAGACCGAAAATATGACTTGTTTCTACAAAATATCTATCATAGTGAAATATGTATTTATCATCTTCAATAAACTAGGAAAACTTTTAATGTCTAATTTATACTATTCAATGATTTTTGTTAAAATCAGTTTATAAGTAGAATATTGATTAAAACAATATTTACTGATTTGATGTTTGTATTTAATACAATATATAGTTGTTCATACTTGACAACTAACTATTCCTATCACATAATGTACATGCTTATACGTACATACACACCTATTTACATATATATATATATATATATATATATATATATACTCAGAAACTTGACAAGTTATATCATTATCATTATTTACTGAACTACTTATATTTTGGCAACTTAAGTCAATACATACTGTCAAGTTTTTTTTTTTTAAATCCCGTCTTATATTTACATATTTACATACATTGATACCGAAAATTCAATTATTTATAACAATATCAAAAATATGTTGGTTCCTAATATTCACGCGTATTTACGGTATGAAGTTTGTTAGAACAAGCTTTTATTTAACTATGAAGAAGAGCGAAATAAAAGTTATCGATCTTTCGTGTACTACTACTACTATTTATGTTATCTACAACAACGATTGTGTTTAATGATAGAGAGAAACTTTTGATCGAAGAAAAAGTAGGTTGACTATTTGAAAAGATTTAGAAATCTGATTGTGTTCAATGATGCTGGATGAAATAAACCATCTTTCGATTCCATTTTTTAAGAAGAGTCTATATAAAATATGAAGTAGTAGTAACTTATATATATATATATTTTTCCAGTCGCGGCCAGACCAAAACATGGCACAAGTCTATGAAGTCACTGATAAGTGGACCGAGTCATGTTGGTAGGTGTAGACTACCTGGTTGGGGACCGCGAGATGATAGCAACCGATGGTTAGATACCTTGAATGGCATGGCTCAAAACCGTTTGCAACGGCGCAGCTGCATCCACTCTTTGTGTTCTCCCAAATTCTAATCTTTTGAACTCTTTATGTCCCTTTCTTTTTTCTCCTTCCAAATTTATTTCACTGGGTTATACTCCTTGAATAACATCTTCAAACCCTGATGTTTCCGATTACTGCTTATACTCTTACTACCTCTACCAATATGGAATTTGAATCGATAATTGTATCTGTGTACTAATGTGGTGTGGCAACTCGAACGGATGTATGTACGTACGTACGAAGTTCTACGTTGTTACTGACTGACTGACTCAATACGATTGGCTTCCACTATGTTATAAACATTATTGCAAAACTTGTCAGGAATATAGGTCGATTTTCGATCAGATCGTGAATGTGGTTTTGTTAGTTTTTATGTAGATATCAAATGATTATAGGCAACTTTTCTGAGGGGATTTAAATTTGTTTAGATAACCTGCAATTGATTATGTTAACTAAAATAGTGAAATTTAAACTATATTCAATTGTCCTTCTGTGATCCTTTGTAGCTGTTTCCTATTATAACCTAACTGCTAAATGTTACTACTACAAATACTAAATTGTTTTTTCCCCAAAGTCCATATATTTTTGTAAATTTAACTCATACCATTCATAAATTGTTCTTGTGGAGCGGTAACTTAGTTTTTAGTCATTCGATTCTGTCTTCAAACCCTGTAACACCTATTTTGATTTTTATACAACTTGACAGTATTGTTAAACGTCAAACATAAAAAAAAACATACTCCAAAGACAAGTATAGAAACTGATACTTGATAAATGAGTTGGATGGATTATCGTTTTATTCATAATCAGACCTTAGAGATTTAACAAATTAGATAAATCTTCATGATTGTGACTCAGTATAATGCTGTATATACTCTTGAATTTTAACCATAAACTTCAAACCACACCTTATCTGAAGTGTTTGTTTCAGCAACTTACTAAATAATAGGTATATATGCAAACTTCATACAACTTTACTTGATAAAAAGGCTAAAACAGGAAAATTAATATTGGCTAAATGAGTCATTAGGTAATTGCTTTTCATGTCTTATAAGATGTACACTGAATGATGTGTAGTGATTGATAATTTAAATAGAACGCCTATGTATATGTACATCGCGTAATAAACACTTAATATGGTTTATTAGTTAGTTTGTAACGGCTAAAAATACTTGGTTACTACCTAGTTTAATGATCAGATTATTTATTAGGTACACACCTATTTAGGCATCTCTTCACACTGAAATTGAAGTGGGTATGAATATGTGCTAAGTTTATTTTTCAAAATAAATTTATGTCAAAGTTATCATCATTATTCATGCGTGCATACATAAAACCACAATTTAGTGTTGTAAGAACATAGGATAATAAAAAAGAAACTAGTTAGAACAGTATGTATGCACATATCCCGACCATAAACTGCTGTCTTGACCTGGTAGTCGGGTGCACATATTGTGACAACCCATTGAAAGTATATTGGCTGGAACATTTGTTATTCTAGGTCCCATCATACCAAGCAGGTTGATTAGAGAACAGAAAATTCACTGCCTCATAGCTAAGTAGCATTATTAAACTTGTACCAAGTTTGATAGCGGTAAGGTGTTTTCATTAAACAGACAATGTTTCCAGTGGTTCTGACTTCTCAAAACCGAAGAAAGGTGTCCGAAAACGTCGGCCCTAAAACTAAATCTCCTCGTCTTGCCCTACGAATTTCTGTTGTTGTTAATTTGGCATTTAAAGTACGAAGCCAACACATCCTAAACTACTCACAGAAGGATTGAGTGTGACTAGCCTCAAGCTGTTGTCCCTTAAGTACTCCCAATTCACTAAGATCATCCCTAAATCTGTTTGCTTTTCGGTTACCTTACTAAGAATTAACCTTCTATAGTGTAGACAACCGTGAAGTGACAGCCTCATATCTCTAACACCGTCTTCGGCTTACATATATATATCGTTTGTTTACACATCTTCACTAGTGTTATCTATGGTTTTGCTATCGAACTGCTTGAAACTGTTGACCTCATAGGCAGAATGGAGTTCGAACTTATGAATTAGTGGTTGAAAATCAAACATTTGAACCATGTAGCTCATTTTAAAAAAAATCAAAACTGGAATTTACATTTATTTCTGTTAACATAGAGTAATGTTTTCAATGGGTTTTTTAGTTTGTTCGCATCTATTACAAGAGATCACTTTGTTTTTGTAACAAATGCATTTTCATTCATCAATTATCATTTCGATTTTTCTGTTTAAAAAAATAAAAACAACATTGTAGCTTCACAAAATGAAAAATACCGTCAAATTACCCGTCCAGACGGGAAAAGAATTAGTTTATTAATACAAAATTTTCAACCACGTGATTGTGGGATTTATCGTTGCGTGGCAATCAATCCATTAACTAGAGAAAAGAAATATTCACCGGATGCAGTGAATTTAAAAATTATCAGTAAGTGTTCTTTTTTTATCTTCCTATCTATATGTGTCGGTGGTCTTTGTTACTTCTTTTTCTTACACAGTTTGAATGTAGTCAATATATATATCTATCTCTTCTGAATGTATAAGTATGGAGGTAGATTGAAAAAAAGCTAAGAGATAGTGGCTAACCCAAGACATAGCATCGACTTGTGAAGTTATTAACTCCTGAAATAAGTCATATAGATGAGTATCGACTGTTACCTGGTTGGAGTCTGTAATCAATGTCTGGATATAATGTGTGACATGGTTGAGAATCGGTTGCAACAAGGCAGATGTATTCAATCTTTGTTTCCACAGTTTTAAATCGTCGTAAAGGAGGTCAGTCGCGGCTCCGATAACTCAGTTTCAACATCTCCGAATACAAAGTTAGGCGAAATGGGATCGATTCTACTGGATACCATCAGTTTCTTCAGGATTACAGGAACACTGCTGATGAATGACAAATAACATGAAACCTAGGTCAAGCAAGCTTTTCTGTTGACTACCCTTATGCAACCCCTTACTCTTTGTCTTCCGTTATGTCTTGGATTTTAAAATCATATTTCACTTTTTATTCCACGAATGCGTCCTTGCTTCTAAAACCATATCTTATATCCCTAATCTTATTTACTCACACTGATACTGTTATCTTAGCATTCGCCTTAATCACTTCATTTCACTATAGTGATTTGATTTTCTTTATGTATATGAAACATAGCCATTAATAATTGCACATATCTATAGACTATACTAGTATTCGATCATACGTGTCTTCCTACCACCGCTTGTGTATTTTGGGACCACCAAGTGAGCAAATACGAGGTTACCCATTGGTTATTAAGTGAATACGGAAAGTCAATCAACGAATCTTGGTCGACTGAGTTAGTTGGAGCATGTGTTGCATATGCTCATCCATTGGCAACCTCGACGAGTGATGTCTGGTGTAGGATTCGATTGTAAGAAAGCTAGAGGTGGCCAAATCAAACATGGAACCAGTCAATAAAGTCACTAAAAGTAGGTGTATACTACCTGGTTGGGGTCAGCGTGATTATTGCGATTAATGGTTTGAGACTTTGAATGACATAGTTCTAAATTGTTTACAGTTTGAGCAGGTGCATCCATCCCTTGCCTTCCCCCAAATTCTTAGCTCCTGAATCCCCCACATTTTTTTATTTCGCTAATTTATATTTTCTTGAATCGTATCTTCTATGTCCAATCTTTTTATCACTACCCATTGTTACTGCTTCTACTACTCTGGTACTTGCTGTAACAATTTCATCTCTCTGTGCTAATGGGTTTCGGCAACTTAAATCGATGTACATATGTATCAGGTCCTACGTTACGACTAACTGGTTGAGTGATATGGTATGAGAACTGAAACTGATACACTTATATACCCCAGGTTCTACTCTGTTCATGATTAACGGTGAGGGAATTGTAAGCTTTAATTAACCACCTATCCTTAATCGTGTCAATAAATTCCCTCCCACTCCACAGTGTTATCATCACATACCATCTCTGAATGTAGAAAAGTATTAAATTGTTTATCGTTGATCTCCCTGAACAACTTTACTGAACTGTATAAGATGTATATTAATTTTGTGCACTTTTAATTACTTTTCAGTCATGTTAAATCACAGTTTGTTTGCATTATTTCAAGAATTTTCGATTCTTACCTGAAGACATTTACATAATTCTAACGTCTGTTAACATTTTTCTTTTGTAATCTAAAAAAGTCTTACTATCCATAAGTATCCTTTACTCCATCATAAATAGACACATAAGCTGAAACAACACATCCTCTGACGATATGTTGATTTTTTCAAAATCACAAGCCAGCCGAGCACGTTAGTTTGAGACCCTGCATTATTGTACACATACAGCCGCTCCGATAGAAACTGAACTGAGAAATTCTAGGTCTCACAATACTTCTGAATCTTTCAATTACGCACTGTTCAGTTGATACCAGTTCAAGTTGCAAGAATAATTCAAAATAACGACACAATTATTGTTAGTGTAAGGGGGTTTGTGGAACTATTATGGCCACTACAGTTTAACTACACCAAATGTAATAAGCAGTTACTCATCAATGATATTGATAGATGGTTGTGGGTTATCATGAACAGAATAAAACTAAACATGTTAACCATTGGATGTCAGTTTAGTGGTTTGAGGGTTTTAAATGCTCTACGAGAAACTTGAAGCTTCTGACTTCACCTTCCCCTAACAGGTTGATGGATTCGTACCAATATTGTTAAGTCCCAAACTACAAAATACTTTTTGGTTTTCAATAACCATTTAACAGGGTCATTTTTTTTGGTGTAAAAATAATTTTCGTTTACAAATATTACTCAAAAATAAACTATCCAAGTTACGTTAGTGTACGTTACTTATTCGAATTATTTTTCTCGATAATAAACTTGCAACGAACAAAAATATTATTTTTTTACCCGCACCCATAGCAACACAAACATACATATACTTTATATATATATATATATATATATATATATATAGAGAGAGAGAGAGAGAGAGAGAGAGACGCGTAAGCTTACTCACTTTAATCTCCTGTCTAATTAAGTATGATATTGTGATGTGTGCTACTTATGTCGACAGATATAAGTAGTATATATCACCAATCAAAAGCGAAATGTCTGGCTGCAGATGATTAGGAAGATCGACGAGAAGAGAACGAGAACAGACAGTGGTTGATATGGAAATGAAGGAATAACCAAGTCTGAGACAATTGTTTGATATTTTGCAAATGAAATATTTACTGTATGATCCTCAGATCTTACTATGGGATTCTGTAGTTTTCTATTCAAATACATTTTGTTGTCCCCACTTGTATTGTCATTCACAACAATATGAATATTATCTTAAATAAAATCTATTGTCAGCCTATATATTCGTTTACAGACGTAATTATCAATAAATATATGACAGTAATACTATCATACTTTTTCCTCTCATTTCATTCATTAATGATAAATGACAATTTGTAAACCGAATAGTTTTATTCCAAGCAGTTCGTACAGGATGCACATATGTCAATGAAAGATTGATCAATTACAGTCCTACACACGAATAGAAAGATCTAAATAATCAATATATACAAATTCCCTTTCTTTCCCTGTATTTTTATCTATCATCAGTGTTAATTATACTACTCCACTGCATTTGTGTCTGTCCAAGAGACTATGTGCATTATTGTATCTCTCAATTCATCTATTTTTTTAAGGAGTAACAATAGCTCCTTATGAAATAATGCAAATAAACAAATTGAAAGTGTTTTTAATGCTTTAATTATTTCATCTACATTCCTGTTTGAAAGTGTGTAATGCTTTCTATACCATAAAATTTATTTAATGTTTCATCTATCCCCCAATTATTAAGCGTTTCAGTTTGTGTACTAATGGGTGAGACCATAATTTATGGATGACCTTTGAGCGACACCGGACTGACCTTGAGAGTGTCCACCTAATAACCAGGACCAAATGAAGGTTATAAACCAGTGTGAGGAATTAAAATTATGATTTACATTTGATGATTGAGGTTAGAAATTAGATTTAGTGTTTTCATCACGAACTGACATAAGCTATAATGCCAAAACCATTTATTAGAATGAGTGAATTTTGCGCCAAATTCCAAGACCCGTTATCTTACACGTGATTGGCTCGTCCATAAATTATAGTCTCGCCATATACGCCACACTTCATTCGATTTGTATGACGGCTGGAATACTTTACGAGCGCCCAAACCGAAGCAGGTGGCTTTCTGAAAGCATCACTCTCCGAGTATTTGACCTAAGGGTCTAACCCATAAGGCAGCGAGGCAACATTATCTGGTGGGGTTCCATGGTAGCTGGTGACTAGCAATAGGTTTATACGCTATTTATTCCCTCAGGTTCCTGGAGCCCGTGAGCATCATAGTTTACTAACCCCCCTAGGTGGATCTACGCTATCCACCAACCCGATTTGCGTGCCGGACTTGCTCTTTTCTTCTTTTCAATTTCATAAACAACACCCCATTCACGGTATGTCAGTGAATAGGACTTCCCTGTCAGTGGCTGTATACGCGTGACCATGTGATAGCATTTGGAGAGGAATAGTTGACTCTTCCCACCCTTATTCGTACCAGGGCGTTTGGGTGCTATTCCTTGAACACACTACTTTATTCGACTAAATCCTAATATCAAAACACTATTTTTATAAGGAAGAGAAATATATCCCAAAATGTGAACAGTCAAAGCTGGAATAGTAAAAAAATAGGAATATTCTTACATTTCCAAAATCATCTATACACTAATTATAGTACTAACTAGTTACAAAATGAATTGGTCCGTCAACATGTTCCGACACATGTTGTTGTCTAGAATGTGGATCAATCAAAGCTTTTGTCCTACCAACAAATAACAACTCTATGATTGATGAGTATATTTTTTCGTTATTACAGTGTATACATTCATTAGTATAGTCTTTTGCTGTAAAATTACTTCACTAAAACTTATGCATCATGCATAAATTTTACTACTCTTCATATTTTTTATCAATCTTGTCTGAAATATATTCATTCCAAAGTAGAGCAGCGTAGAAATCACGTTCTTTCCGAAAATTTATGCTTCAATATCAGAGTATTTGCATTTGTTTGATAAACAGTTTGTTTTCCTGCATTATTTTTATATTTTAGTCCCAGATGTTCCTGTTGCCGGAAAAATTCGTGTTCCTATGGCATCGGAATCTATAGATCCTCGAAATTCAGCAGCATCCCAAGAAATAGTCGTTCGAGAAGGTCAAAATGTTACATTGTTTTGTATTATTCAAAGTGCTCCACCTCCTATTGTCACTACTTATCCATTTGAACAAAATTCCACTGCACATAATCGTTTTCATCGACATAATTTATTTGGTAAGTAGTTATTTTCCTGTTATATATTCTAGGTTGGATAGAAAAATGGTTTGGAAGTAGGTTAACTCGATCTAAACCAAGTTATATCATTAGTTCATGAAGTTATTGACTGAGATATATTGGTAGATGCAAAATACTTGGTACCTGGTTGTGTTCTATACAATAATTATGAATAATGATGTAGGTCAAAATAAGTCCTCAGTATCGTAGATAGATATGCTCTTTTTTACTGTCCTCTAAACAACGAGTTTCAATATATTCTAGTATTTCATATCCTCTAACTTTCACAATAATACACACTACTTTTCTTGTGTTGATTTCAGCCCGTGCTGAAGTGGTAAGTGAATCTGGGTCGTCAACACCCATTTATCCTCGATTCCTAGGTTTTTTGGGTTTTTGACTTAATTCTCAAAGTTGCTTACATTGTAAGTATAAGAAATTAAATTACCCTAGTACATTGATGATTTGACATTTATAAGATAAAGTTCACCTTGCATCTAAATTTTTGATATTGAATGATGGAGTATGTCGTAGGCGTTACATCATACCTAGTATGTGATGAATCGTCATTTATCTAATCTTGAGGAAGTGGAAACATGACTTTGTTCAAAGTGTGAACATTCGTTTGTGTGCAATATACATAGTTCGGTTGAGATGCTAGGTTAGGAGAAGTGTTTTATGTAACAGCTGAACATGATAATAGTGTACAAAGAGAATTAAAATTTGATTCAGTTTACTTATTGTAACTTCTGTAATAAACATTGCTTAACATATCTAATCAATAACGTCATCATCTTGATTCTTAGATTATAAAGTTAGATTATGTATTGTACTTGGCCTGAGGTATCCATGTTGTCAGATTCAGACTAACTGAAGGGGCTGGTCTCTGCATAACAGCGCTCAGCGGTTGCGGACATAAACTGACACAATTTAGTCACAGTAGCCCAGATGTATTCATTGGATAGCTACCTCTCCTCGATCTTGAGTCCTAGTATTCCTGCATATGTAAACCTTTCATTCCACATTCTCAATGGCTTTACCATTCATTTTAGTGAATTCATCATATCTCACCAATGTGGTATAATAAATTGGGTTAACGCACATTATTGCTAGTCTGTACATGGATTATGTATGACAGACTTAAAATTCATTATGTCTTCGGTTGCTTTTAGCTACCATTTCACTTTAAAGGTCGGAGGAACAGAGAATTTTGACGAAATGACATGGGTTTTTTTTCTTTGCGTTCGCTACAGCTGGTTCATACAATCTAATATTTTAAAACTAAAATTATCACACAAATAACATACTTATGGCCATAAAATAGATCAGGTATGGTTATGCATCATCATTGTGAATAAGTAGAGATCCGAATTAATATAATGGGATTGAAATGAACTGCACTGGGTTCGAATCTTGTAGTGAATCTAACTCAATCTATGTTGCAGGTACATCCAGTTGAAGAGTCCCAAATGGGGTTGAACGCTCATCTTGCTTTCCACTACTAGCCATCATTTATCTCTGCATATAGGTGAAACAATTAATTGATTATGTAATGAAATAGGTTGACACAATTTGATAGTAATTAAGAATAAGATGAGGTGAGATCAGTCAGTCCAAACATAACATTATGAATTTGAAAGATGTAAATAATGCAATTGAAATACGAAGAGTTGCAAGAGTGTTATTAGTAAACTGAGAGTTAAGTCACCATGGTAAAGCGAAATTTGTCACTGTTTCTTTTTGGATTTACAGTTGATTGTTCACTGAGTAGTTAACCAATTTCACAAACGTCAAGTCCTTTTAGCACTGATTGAATTTTATCAATCAAGTTATAGTAGGGTCACTAGTCCAAGTCCAAATGACTTGACATCACGTCCACTATATTAAGATGTTTGGAGGTAGTCGACAGGAACCCCCCTCCCCAACCTAGGTTTCATGCTATTTGGCACTCATCAGAATGATCCACCTTTGATCTTAAGGGAACTGATACTCCCTGGTTGACCCGATCTTATGTCACCCAGCTTCATTGTCAGAGATATTACCATTTAGCGATTCAGGATGTGGCTCAAAGCTGCGTAACTCGAGATTGAATCCGTCAGGAGGCATCAGTTCCCTCTAGATTACAGGTACTTCTTCCTGATGAGTAATACGAGTAACACGAAACCTAGGTTGGGTAGGGTTTCCTATTGACTGCTTCCGAACACCACCCTACATCTTTTTGGATAAGTCCGGCTTTAAACTTTTGATGGCTATAGCTTCGGAAAACTTGAGAATAATAGAGTTTGGCTGTCGATTGAGAATCTTGGAAGACTTCGGTTTATCAACCTGATGTGTTGTATCAAAGAGGTATTTGGAAATAAAACTTCTGAAAGGCTTTAAAATCCCTCTGACATAAATTAGTTTCATTTAATATATATGATATATATATATATATAATTGATCATTGATCGTTTCCAATCTACGGTATATATTGGTTTCATATTTTGTTTCTTTACAAAATTATTTGTCCAGACATCTACGTTTATTTATAACGTACACGCAAGCTAATATTATCTTCATGTCTCAGTATACTCTTTCAATAAAAAAAGTACATTATCGTATCTTATATTATCTTATTCACTCGCTATTTTCGGTTGATAAATATTTTCTACGAGACTAAATAGACCATGTGTTTGTTAGGAAACAAAAAAGCAAACGAAGGACACTTGTCGTAGCTTCTATATTTTATTTTCCTTTTCTGTAAACTTACACTCCTTCCCTCTCCCCAGCATATTATCACAGTCAGTCATCTCATTTCGCCTTCTTTCATTTGATCCAAGCAAAATAATTTACCGTTATTGTTATCTGTTAATAGACGAGAAACAACATTGTTATCGTTTCATAAATACTTCACAATATTTGATAAATGTGTATTTTTTCCATTTATATACATATACTGTCATACAATGTGTTAATGTAGAACGTTTCACTGTCCAGATTTAATACATACATTAAACCATGTGTGTGAACAATAGTTGTAGTAATGCATTTTTGTACTGTTTGTTTGAATCTTCCGATTGATTTGTAGGACTGCAATTGATCAGTCTCCTGTTGACATATGTGCATCTTGTGCGTATTGCCACAAGCATATAAGCACAGATGGACGGTGCCTAGCAGTGTAATTCAGAATGCGTGCCACTTCGTCTTACTTGGGACTCGTCAGCTGGATGTGCCTGCATCGCACAATTGATGTTCACCCCGAGACGTTTTGCTTATAATACTTGTGACTTAAGGCAATATCGAGACGATTCGCACAAAACTCACAAATGCCAATAAGTGACTGATCAATTGCAGTCCTAAACACCAACGGGAGAATTCAAACAACTAATACAAACATGAATTAATCTTCACCTTATTGCAAAAGCTAGTGGCTATCTGGACACATTGGCCAAATGGATAGTGCGATGATTTTTGAGGCGAAAGGTACTATATCCGAGTCCTGGAGTGAACATCAACTCTAGAATGCAGTTACGTCCATCTGATGAGTCTAAAATAGGACGAAGTGGCTCGCATTCCGGATTATATTGCTAGTCACCACCGGTCTCTACTCATAGTTATAGTAGTAATAAATGATGGACAATTTGAAATGATTTATCAATTATGTTCATTTTCACATACATGAATAAGAGTGTGGATGATCCGGTTTTGGATATCCAGATGATGTTCAAACCATTAATAATAAAAGAAATAGTTTAATGGCTATACTGAACTCCTTAGCTCAGTAGATAACGTGTTTGTTGTTTACAGTGAAATTTACGGAGTTCATTTTTCAATGTGAATGTTAATAACATTGAACTAATGGTACAACCTGTTGACCAGACTGAAATAGTGCGAAGAATTTGTGCACTGAATTATACTGCTAGCTACAATCTGTCTATTCTCTGTAGAAAGATGTTTGGTTTTTATTTAGTGGACAACTCAAAAGTAATCGTTTAAAATTAGTTGACTTTTAAGTCGACTAATTGTGCGTTCGTTTCTCTTAAACTAAGAGATTAAGATCACTTCACATCTTTCTTTCTACGAACTAATTCTTTCTTCCTATACTATATCCTTATTGCAATCTTTCTCCTATATATTACCACCTTTGACCTAACCACTCCTATGAATCCAGTGTTCATCTTGCTGTGCTAATGAGGTATGGCAACCTGGGCCGATGCATACATGTGCCTGGTCCTACGTTGTAGCTGACTGACTGACTGACTTTACTCAATCACAATTAATCTTTGCAGCTGAATCGTTATGGTAGTATCATTTGTCGTAATACAAAAGTGTCTACGATGAAACTTAGTTAAATGAACATTTGTACTTAGCCACTAATAATACCACTTCAGTCGGTGACGTACTAACTCTTACCTCTTAAGTTCTACTTGTTCGATCATTGTATATAAATATTCTTTTCAAGAGATTATGATGTAATATACGTTTGCGTCCCTTTTTTGATGTTGTTTTTGTTGTTCGAAATGATTTTTATTCCGTTCGTCTCTTAATGTTTATATTTACACTACACTAGGTTAAAGGTACATCTTCACTAGCGAATCGTAAGCGGAACAAAATATGCATCCTGTGTTCTACACTGCTTATCACAAATGAAAAACTATTGAAAATTTATTATAGTTATCGTTTTAATATCAGTAAAATAAATTCATCTTTATTTTATTGTAATTTTATATCAACTAGGATTATTGGAGATAATAAATGTACACCCTAGCGATGCTGGTATCTATATTTGTACAAATCGTCAATTAAGTTCTACTGCTCAACTACGTGTTCGAAGTGAGTTGTTCATGGTCGTATCGTTTTGATTTGATTTGAACTGTTGATTAGTAAATTTTTAATTTGATAACACAAATATATGTATGTATGTTGTAGTGGCTTAGTTTAGTTAACCAATCACCTTGATTCCCGTTGTTATATAAATCCCAACAGTTTTTGAATTCATAAGGTATTAAGAAGCGGAGACTACAGTTTATTAGCAGATAGCACAGATAACAAAGTTACAAGCACATCGAGCGAATCGGAGCAGAGAGGCCAATATATGTATGTGAGCGAATACAGAGGTGAATTTATGGTCAAATGGAATCAAGGCGCAGCGATGCACGACAAAGACTATTAATAGGATTTGAGTACATATATTTATATATTTCCATACATGGTAAAGAGAATGGTTGATCGAGAGAGAGAGAGAGAGAGAGAGAGATTCAAGATATTAATATTTCAGCTAACGAGAGATATGTGCGTAGGTTGTCCTATGTGATCAAGCATAGACTTTTATACAAATACGATAGTGATGATGATGATAATAATAATACAAAGATATAATCGAATAACATTGTCTATTAAATAGGTTAATAAACATCCTGACAAAAATTAACCGTAGTCGAAATTAATCCTAGGTATGTTGCAATGCTTATGATTATTATCAATTTTGTAGCACGATTGATGCAGACATCAGGAGTTTAGTCCACTCTTTTTAAGCTAACATCTATGGTTCTGAACTGACTCGCCCCAAATTTAGATCGTATATATATGTAGTCCATGAATTGACCTGGAAGAATTAGTTATACTTTTGTGTATTGGTTGAAAATTCCATGTTTTTTTTCAAGCAAAGTCCAAAAGCGATTCCAACATTCACGGTAGATTAATGATCATCTTCAACCCCCGTTTGCTTTTTTCCCCTGCGTGTAGCTTTTTATGAAAACATTAATGTCCTTTCATAGTATATTTCGTTATTTCTTATCCCTTTCGTTTTGGGCGGACATTGTTTTTAAAAAGAGCTATTCTTAACATTAATAGCAGTTAAGACGTTCTCCAGTACTGTTAGCTGTTTGTGGCGGTCGTCAGTTCTCAGTTTTCCATGTTGTGAAAAGATGCTTCCTCTTGAAGCACCTAAAATGGTGACTAGATTAGTAGTAATCTTGGCAACCTGTAAGTGTGATCGCAGTGTCCAATGGACAACTGTTCAAAGTTGATGACATGATTTTTTTAACGAGAAGTTTGTACTGTGTTAGCTTGTACTTTCAAGGCTTTACCCCTGGCGATACCAGTCTGTAAGTCGAGATGAGGTGTGATGGCCGAGTCATTCCTGTTACTGGAAAGCAGCATCACTGAAGATGCTGGTTGTCCGAGGGAACACTTTACAACCACCACCACCACACCTCAGTACAGTCTGCACAACCACTTCAGATCTTAAGTCTTACTGTTCTCCATTTGATCAATCTGGCTTGGTAGGAATTAAAGGACCAAGTGTTGCAGCCAGTATACTCCAATTGGGTTACCACAGTAAGCAATTTCAACCACCACAATCGTCTGTAAATTGGAAAGCATTGAGTAGCCATGTCATCCTAATTCACTAGTAATCTTGATATGGTTTCATGCTGCATTCATAACCCTTTTTAAAACACTCGATCAGAATTCCGTCCAAACTGTCAATACGGTTAGCTCTTTTGATCAACTTCTATCATAATATAACGCATTCAACATGGTTAACTCTATAGATTACTGATCTTACTAAAAATTTTGCGAATCCCATCTCAGTACATATGATTATTATATAGTGGTCTAATTTTTTGTGATTATGGAGCGATATTGACAGTTCTTCAGAAAAGCCTTTGGAAACTGAAAGAAAATGCTGAGTCTACTTTGGCTAACCAGCGATTCATAGAAAATTTCATGCGAATTCTAGAGAAAAAGGGATTATATCGTCGTTTTCTGATGGGACATTTGCCGTTTCTGTTTTTAATTTTATTACATTTCCCCGAAACTTCTAGAATCTCTAGGTTATATGTGACACCTTTTTGTTTTCTGTTTGGGGTTCAGACGTGGAAAATTTCTTTGTATTTAGAAATTCGATGTCCATATGTTCAATTACAGAGATTACTATGTGCTTATATCGCTAATCAAATGAGCTTGATCAGTCAAAAACCACTAGAATAAACATTAAAAATGAGAAAACCACGAGCTAAAACACACATACATATGCTACATCCAGTCTCCGATATATGAATTCCGTGGGTAAAATGTTTACGCTTGAATAATATATGAATCATCAGCAGTATTACTCATTTACTCCAAGTACATATTAATTTACCCATTTTTGAGCCATATTATTTTTATATACGAGCTAATAATCTTAGTACCCAGTTGGCAAAGTGAAGCAAAAATCGTCTAAATTCCGTAATTGCCAATCTAAATTCCGTGTAAGACTAGAGGAGCAAGGATATGTCATCAAATCCTATAACATGCTCCAAAATCATCCATGTAGTAGTTCATGGATGGTCGAAGGCTCGGGGATTGGTACCCTAAGAAAACCACCTGCTTCGGTTTGGGCACCCGGGCAGTATCACAGCCCTTACACATCAGATGAGATTTGTGTGGCGCATATGTATTTGGTTCATCATTGTACCGATTTTTATGTGTTAAAATAAATAAATAAATAAAAAGTTTAAATAAATGATGTCAAATGGATGCTCGAACTTGTGATACATAGTTTTATAGGAGAGATGAATTATAACTAGTAGTAGAGAATCTAGAATGCATGTTTCGTCCCATTTGGGACATGTCAGCTGTAATGAATCTATTACATCTCAGTATTGTTGATATTCACACCTAGACTAGAGCTGAGAGTAACTTTTCACTTCAAACATCTATATTATCCGTTGAACTACTAAGTTCAAATAATCACCAACTTCTGTAACGTTTATGAATTTAATTTACACGACAACAGTTTAAATCACTCATAGGTTTTTCACACTCTTTGAATGTGTATAATGTTTACATACAATAAGAATTTTCGTCTTTGAATATTTTCTTCTTCTATAAAGTTTTCAAATAAAACATTAAGTCATATCATATCATATCTACTCTAATTTATTTTTGTATACAATCAACAATATAGAACGTTTACGTTTAACAACAAAACCTCAAGATGTACTAATTAATCATTTCGGTGAAAGTGTTCAATTCAAATGTACAAGTTCAAATGAACAAATTATACCATATTGGTTATTTAATGGACAACCAAAAATTACAGGAATTGGAAAAAGTATGTTTCTTCTTTTTTATGTATTTGTAAAATCTATTTTTACAAGCGAATCCAAGTAGTTTGCATCCGTTAATATGTTTGAGATTAACAATCAATGATGATGTTTTGTCTAGCTTCGTTCCAACCTATCTCTATGCTAGTTAACATTATACGTCTAATTAGACAGTACTTATATGATATATCTTTCAACTGTTTTTTAGTTAATAAAGATTTATATCCCTATCGATTGATTTCTCATATGTATCTACTCAGTTGGAAGAAAGTTAGCGGCGGTCAAACTAAAACGTGTCATCAATCCTTGAAGTCACTAACTTCTGATCTGAACTATTTTAGTAGATGTACATTACTTGATTGGGGCTCACGCGACTATCTATCGTAACCAAGGTTTGGAGACTCTGGGTGACATGACTCAGAATCGGTCACAATGGCGTAATTGTATACACTCTTTGTCTTCCCTTAAACCATGAGATTAAAATTACTTAATTAATTCGGTGTTCATCTTGTTGTGCTAATGAGGTGTGACAACTTGGACTGATGCATAAATCTGCCTGGTCCTATGTTGTAGCTAACTGATGTACCCACTCGACATGTTAATGAATGTTGGAAGCATTTATGAACATTCTTGTAGAGATAAAATTATCACCAACCTAATTGCTTGATAACTTTGTCATGAAACAAATCTATTGAGATCCTATACTATAATGTTGCGTAGTTTTTCATAAAAGCCACTCAAACTGTTGTAGGTGGGGCAAGTTTCAAACTTGCAACTTAGTAGAACGTTGAATTTTTACGTTTTCATCATAATAAAAACAACTAATTGTTATAAATACATAAACTTCCCCACTTTTCCCAACCACTTACTTACCATCTAACTTGCTTACAGTCACTGGCTTTAATCGATAAATTTACATTGTCATTGTTGGTTAATACACTATATGCTTCACAGTAATTACCATGTACTAAAATTTTTTTGATATAGCAATAGTTTCTAATGTATTACTGGTAAATTCATGAGATCTTCGTATATCTATCTGTTTTATGCTATGAAGAATTACCAGTTGTCATAATCTCGTTATTGAAGTATTTTTTTTAATATGGATCCTAACGCAACGCATTCATCATAATTGCGTGAATCTTTTGATCTGTTGTTTGTGTGTGTGTACTTTTTTGTTCAGTAATTTTCAGTGCGTTGGTGAAATACAGAATTCTCGGTATTTTGTTATAGAGACTGTCTAATTCCACTGAACTGATGAACCGATCTAAATTAGGCCATCGTTGAAAACATGGGAGCACTTGACGGCATTTCCGTCCGAGTTTTGTGCTGCTCAGGAGTGAGCATCCGCAAATTCGCCACTGGGAATCAAACCCATATCCATCAGTCCCGCGGGCGAACGCTTAACCTCTAGATCAATAAGCCTATATTCAATAGTGTACAAGTCTAACTTCAATCAATCCTAAGATATTGTGAACTTATAGATCCTCACTACTGAAGAATCTTATACTATGCTGAAATGATCATAAAGTGCTTCTACGTTTTCAATGATTGTCTAAATTAAATCGATTCATAATTTCAATGAAATTTTCTTTCCTGTTTTCTTTGCCTAAATCCACTTTCATTTATTTATCTACTTTTAACTGCATCTAACCTGTGCTTCAGTTTGATATAGTTCTCTACCTATTATTATTATTATTATTATTATTATTATTATTATTATTATTATTATTATTATTATTATTATTATTATTATTATTATTATCCTTTCTTATCACAACTATTTGTTCTATAAAATAGTATTTTGTATAACGATAAATTTCATTGTGGATTATATATGTATATATTATTCCATAGAGTAAATATTCACAGTGTGTTCAATAATTATTTTGTTATACATCTCTCTCAAATAAACAATTTTCCCCCTTCAATATCTAACATTGAAATCAATCATAATTGACAGGTAAGTAAGTGGTGAATTAATTTATCAACCTTACAGTACAAAATAGTGTTCAATATATATATGTGTCAGAAAGAGAGGAACTTGGAGTTTAAAGAGTGACATTACATAAACAGGTTGATAGTTAGAAATTTGTAAAGTAACTAATCTTTATCTGTCATAATAATAATAATAATAATAAGAAGAAGAAGAAGAAGAAGAAGAACAAGGTGTATTGAAATGAATCGGACCAATTCTTTCTATTGTTATTTTTCTCACATGATTTCTCTCTTTTTCTTTCATAGATTATAAAACAATTCATGGACTGTTTGTAATTTTTTTATTTGAACACATAAACATTGGTACAAGGGGGCACCATACAATGACAATGAGGCTAGTACCAGTTATCATTGATTCTTGTGAGGGCTGTGATACTGCCCGAGTGCCAAAACCTAAGCAGGTGGTCTTAAGAGGCAACACCACGAGCCTTTGACCTGAAGGTCTAATCCACAATACAGTAGAGCAGCCAACAATAGGTTCATACGCTTTTGGTCCATGTGCACCATAGGTTTGGAATAAGGGTATTCTAACTCCCCTAAATGGATCCTCGTTATTCCATCAAATCAGTTTGCGTACAGGACATTCTCTTTTCTTCCTCTCGATTTCGTAAACAACACTCTCTTAGAGGGAAGGCAGTGAGTAGGACTTCCCCGTCAGTGGCTGTATACGCGTGGGCATGTGATGATAGCATTTGAAGAGGAAGAGCGAACTCTCTTCACCCTTGGTCGTACCAAGGCATTTGGGGTGGAGTAGTGTGCGTTGGTATTAGTTCGATTGATTTAAAGCATTCAATTTTTAACGACGATTCTTGTTATAAAATATCTCTGTCCCAGTGCCAAGTCTGAGCATATTTCGAAAGAATATAGAAGTTCAGCGATGAAAATTTTCTTTTCGACGATTTCATTTACCTAAATTGTACAATCGTATTTTATAGTCAATTTAACTTGCTAGCTGACTATTTTGTTGCTAATCCCGAAATCATTATACTTAGAACAATAATTGATTCTTAGACGACACTTTCATTATTTGTGACAAAAATATGAATATCAACGACATTAATTAAATTGCTAGAGACACTCAATCATCATCATCTACAGTAATACAGATTTATGGTTGATATTTAAAGTAGGTAAGAATTGAATTTCGGGTAGTTAAATTAGAATAGAACATCAGATCATCCAACTATTGCCTACTGAACTTAGTTATATGAAGGATATACAAAATTCCTGGACAAAATAAGTGATATAATTGTGTTGACTTATTCGGACTCGATAACTGAGTGGATAATTTTTTATAGGTTCAAATTGAAAGAGGGTACACTAGGTTTATAGTCTCAAATGTAGTGATCAACATTGCGGGGAGGGGCAAACTAGATAAAATGCATATTCTGTATTTCACTGCTATCCATTATCCAACTGTTCTAACGTGTCCTGTAAATTGTTTACAGAATAATTGGCTCATACATTTTTTACTATCGGATTGATTGACTGACTGACCTTAATTAATCTAATCATATTAATGATATACCCAAATCAGTGTTATTGTTTGTTTGTGGTTGTTTAAATCTAAATATGTATGTAATTTTTTTTGTATACATGGCTTTATACCGGATTCTGTAATTTATTAACAGATTTTACGTATCAGTTTAGGGTTATGGAGATTGTTGAGTTTTGATTGAGATCATAAATTGACCGATGTTAGATCACCATTGAAAACCTAGAAGCACTGGACTGTCGTTTCGTCCTAGTAAGGGACTCGTCAGTAGTGCACATTCACGATCCCGCACACGGGATTCGGACTCGGGACCCTCAGCCTCATGCGCGGATACTTAACCTTGTATGTTTTTTTCTCTCTAAATGTTGTTTTCTCCTTCGTTTTTTTTTTCAGTAAAATTTCCTCCTTAACATTTTGTTCAGATGGATCAATGTTATGTATCGTTTTTTCATTTTTTCCTGACTGTTTATTTGATTTATCAGCAAAACAACTATTCTGTCTACGATTTAGGCACTTCCTTGTTTTTGTTATACCGTTTGTCTTTCTTTTTTGGTTGATTATTCCTTTCATATTTTATACCGACTGTTTAATCAGTTATGTTCTTCTTAATCCATTTGTCTATCGTTTCATAATGATTAATGTATGTATTATACATGTGTGTGTATATTAATGCTAAGATGGCGCGTATAGTTTTTTAGCGTTGTGTGCACTTTTTCTATACAACAAGTTATTCTTATCAGAATTGGTTTTTGCTGTCTATGAGAATATTTATTTGTTGATATGAATAGAGTTTTATACGTGTTTTGTTGTGTATGTATGTTTGTATAAGCATTCAACTGTTTGAATGTCCTTTCCCTTGCCCCTTGTTACTATCCAAAGTAATCCAATTTGAGAGCTTAGGATGCGTAGAGTATTAATAATGATAATAATAATACTTTAATACATTGAATAACATTTGTGTTTCATAATTGACACATGTTTGTACTGACTTAGTTACACACACTGTAGAATGTTATTCATAAACGTTTTTGAAATTGGTTTCCATCACTAACAAAAGGGTAATATCTATAAAAGAAAAGACTTCTCAATGAGTAAATGACATTTAAGCACAATGCAAAATAAAATATTAACTCTGAAAATGTTAGTATTAAATGATTAATCCTTTTTTTCTTCAATGCCATATCATAATTCCTCACTTGCTAGTGAATGATACTTGGCTGAATTAACTAACACCAAGTCAGTAAGTCAAGACTTGAATCTGCTATCATTCAGTATATATGGTTGAATTCTGAACTGCTTCTTGAAGTGCATTTGTTTTATTAAAAGACCTTCCTAAATCAATCTCATATTAACAAAAATACTACTAACTCACCTAGTTTTACTATCAAAAAATCTCAAAATGTATTCATCCATGGTTTGGGGTACCAGGATGTGATCATCAATCGATACAGGACTCTAATCAACTGTACAGACTTCACATGTTTAAAAAATCTGAACTTAACTATGACAACTTAT